AGTACGGACCAGTGATGAGCGATTAGTCGATTTATCATTTAGTTGATTGACCGAAAATGAATTGGCAACTTTTTTTCTTGTAATTGATTAATCATTTCATTTGTCAGACAAATGACATGAACAAATTGGCGTTTGGCATGTGTATATTTTGACTTTACACCTTACTGTTAACCTGGCTGTGTTTATGACTTACCTTGAACCTGTTTACGTTTCTGGCATTACTGTACATATGTTTTTGCACCTTTTTGACAACTCTATTGTTTATGTATGTATTTTTAGAAACAAGGCCTGAAAGAGGCGTACGCCACTTCCCACGGAAAAGTTGTCATCGATAAAAAACGACTTGATGGGAGAAACTTTGACCCATGCTTACAAACATTTTGGAGACAGGAAATTGGCAATGTAGATGGTGAGGTGGAAGCCAGATTGTAGAAATTGTTGAATTTTTTCAGCTCTGCCATTTTAAGTTTTAGATTTTAGAACGTCAAAAATGCATAGCCGCACCGGACTAGTAAAAAGGACAAGGTGTTTAATTGGGACTAGGTTTTTAATTTAAGTTGTACCGGAGTCACAGGAGTTATTAGAAGAAATGATTAGAATTCTGGTACCGTATTCACAAACATTCATACTCTCAGAAAGCTCCTAACTTAGCCTAAATTTTTTAAGTAAGGAGTCTTAAGCCCCTTTTACACTGCCAGATTTTCCGTGAATGTTGGGCCATTTTGCCGGCAAGCTGCAAGCGTTTAGACACACAGAGCCAGATAGGCGAGTTGATCCGAGGTGCCCAATATTCCGCCTCGTAGGGTAAACATATTAGTGGAACCCTTTTAGTTTAAAAAGACCGAGGCAGCCTTCCGCAATGGGAGGGGCTGTTGATGACCTGTGGGAGGAGCTGTTGATGACGCCGCACGTGCGAGCCACTGACGGAGGATAAACAGGAAACAGCTGATAGCAGGAATTAGCGAGCAGCTAGTAGCAAGAGGGAAACACAAACCTGACAGACACTGTAACGATGAGCAACTGGGGAGACAAAGCATTTCGCGCCCTCCTTGTCCTCGAAGGGGCCATTATCCGTCAGATGACGGGGACGGTGAAGAACGGGCCGATTTACGAGAGAGTCGCCGAAGGACTGACCAGCTGCGGCTTCTCTCCCATGTCACTGTTTACGTCACACGCTGAGCTACACCTTTTGTTACTTGCTCACGCCCCTCATTGCCCCGAAAAAGGCTCATTCTGTATAAATCTGTAAGAAACTTTTACCTTAGTGAGGAGTGTGATTGACCCCGTTGTTGGGTGTGATGCTTTCTTTTAACAGGTGTGATTGGTTGTCACAGACACGCCCTTTTGTGAGCCCAAGAATTTTAGGGTGTGGACACCCAGTGGAAATGAAATGAACTGCTGACTGTGAAAGTGTTGTCATTGTTAGTGTGATGGATCCGCTGATGGGAGGCTGAAACAGACCCAAGTCATCACTGCTGCTCTGTTGCATTTTACATTTTCCCAAATATCTTAGTGTTGTGATCATTTTATTTCTGGCATCATAGCGTTATTTTGTTAATTAGGAAATGTGTGTGTATCCCTAATGTGATCGACCACAAGTATTCTCCTCATTTACTCACTGTCATTTTGTGTTTAGAGAATATTTCTGCGACCACCATTTTCTCCTCTGCTTAGGAAACTCTTCAGCCTCTTAAAAGTCCTCCTTCCTGCTCCTATAAGCTTTTCACCTTAGGAGCTCTTTTAAGGTTTTAGATCCTCTGTGAATAACTTTTATCTTTACAAGGACCTAATCATAACTTTAAGGGGAAATTCAAGAAAACTTCACAATTCTGAGAATTTTCTTATAATTTCATCACTAGGAGCAACTCTTGGCACTAGGTAGCTTTGTGAATACGAACCCTGATTTTTTAATTGAAAACATGAAAATTATTGACAAATCATCAGTGTGTTGGTATGATTATCATGATATCCACATTAAACAGTTGGATGAGCAGGCTAACACGATGTTAGCCGGTTTTATTTAATCCTTGTTTGAGGAGCAGAGCCCATGAAGTTATTTTTGACTTTCTATTGACACAGTTTTGTTTTAAGACCAGTGAACATGACACTCTGTTTCTCTTAAACAGTGTGTGTGTGTTTACTGGTTTGGTTTGGTCAGTTACCCTTTACCAAAATAACTCCTGCCACATCATCTGGTCAACACCCGAGCAACTACAGCTGCTATTTCTTTACTTGACGTGAGCCCCCAAACTCTCTCCCTGTTTGTCAGTCTTTCTTTTTGTGCCTAACACATTTTCCTCCCTCCTCTTTGCCTTTCTTATTCTGTCTCCTTTCCATTCTTTTGTCCTTGTCAGTCTCCTGCTGCTCGCTCCACTTCAATCCGCGACGCTTTTTCCTGCCTCACTTTTCCATTTCACTGTTCCCCTCTGGGTCATGTTGCGCCCCCCCCCCCCCAAAAAAAAATGTTTTGGAGGGGTCTCAAGTCGGCTGACATTGTTGGCTCCGAGTCTATTTTTATCCCACTGCCAAGCGCCTGTTGATCACTGTGGATAAGTTTAGATCTGTGACTCTGAGCTTTTTGCTGTCGCTATTCTGACTCTGATTCTTTTATTGCCGATGTCATTAGGAAAAGTTACATTAGCCAAACTTAATGATGCACGTTTACAGTTGTACTCCAGTTTAAAGTTTTTAAAACTTACAGATTTGAGTCTACAAGGTTACTGCGGAGCCATGTGGACTCTGAACAATAAAAGATTTGGTCACTGGCAGTGATGAGCGACATCTCTGCCAAAATGTTGAGGACATTTTAAGCAGTGAAGCGCTGCTTCCACTGAAGTGCTTGTTCCAGAACTTTTCTGCTAATGGTCAACACTTCTGCTTTGAGCTGTGTCAGGCCGGCTGCTCTGCCAAAGGCTACGCTCACACTGCCCACTCAGGCCAAAGCATTAGGAGCCATGTAGGAAGCCAGATGGAAACAAACAGCTGAATGCAGTGGTCTCATGACTCTTGTTTTTTTTTTTTCTTGGAAAGCTCTCTTCTCACAATAGTGTTTGATGAAGGACACCTTGGGAAAAAAAGCTGCACTAAAGTCCCACAATGCACTCTGTTAGTCCCCAGGGATCTAAACGTGATATAGATGAGAGTAGAACTGAGATGGAGGTTTGCGTACACGTGATCCAATGTGTGTTTGCATCAAGGTTTTACTACAACAGTCAGGCTGGTGTAGTAAAACCAACAGAGTAAGTGTTCTGGGTGTGTGTGGAAGAGTAATGGAAGGACGGAGCAGACTGCAGACTGCAGCGAGGTCCTGCAGGAAGAAGTGGAAAGATAAATGATCCACACTTGTGTGACTCAGAGCTGATACCACACATCAACAAACACACTCATCCTTCAGTCGGCCCAGTCTGCTCTGTGAGAGTGTTTGTTAGAAGAAATGACTGAAGTCGTGTGACAGTGTCACAACAGTGTTGTGTAACATTCTGTTTCTTGACGGCACTGTTTAATCCAGGACGATGAGGGACGGCATCCTCATGGTTAATTCAGTCTTAATTCATTTGAACCTTATTACATTTGGTAGGGATGCAGTGATACATTTAACTGCCTAAACTGTTTACAGTGGTATAAAAAATGATTTATCATATGTGTCTATTTGCTTATCCACCTGAGCATCTCCTTTCCTCCTCCACTGCTCATCACTGTAACTGATAGGGGTGGGGGGGGGGAAGTCGATGCAGTATAGTATTACGATATTTTTGTGTGTATTATATAAATACAAATGAAACTTTAGGTAGCCTATTTGAATAATAGTTGCTTTTTTCAGTCTACTACATACATTTTCCTGCAAAAAAAGTGTTGACAAAGTTTTCCTTTGGGGACATAATTTCAATTTTTAATGTGTTTTGATTGGCTGCTACCTTGGCTGGGTCTCTCTTGTAAAAGAGATTTTCAATCTCAATGGGACTTCCTGGTTAAATTAAGGTTAAATTAAAACAAATAAATGAATAAATTAAGTTGAAAACAGGTACCAACTAGACAGGTCACCAGACTATCACAGCTAGACAGGTACATAGGTAGATAGGATAAAACAGATGCTGACAGAGTTTTCTTTTAGGGACATAATTTAGTTGGAAAAAAGAATATATAGTAAATATTTTTTTTATCGCAATATGATTTATCGTATCGTGGATCCTCTGGTGATCCCCACCCCTATTAAAGGATTAAAGGACAATGATGAAAAGGTGGCCAGATGGTGTCGGAGGAGGGAGACAAAGCGAGAACGCAAAGAAATGTAAATGATGGAGGAGGCGCTGAATTATTGACACGATATTATCATATGTGTCTGTTATTAACATGATATCTATGATTTATTTTTGATCATCATGGTTAACATTAATATTAAATTATTATTTTTTTGGCTTTTGCCTTTTTGTGACAGGACAGATTATTAAGCATGAAAGAGGGAGAGAAGCAAAGCAAAGCAAGGCAGCTTAATTTGTATAGTACATTTCATTTAAAGTGCTTTACAGAGCAATAAAATATAAATATAATAATGGATACAGATTTACAATAAAAGAGTTAAGAGAAAAAAAAAGGTAAGAGAGAGGGGATGACATGCAGCAAAGGGCTGTGGGCTAGAATTGAACCTGCAGCCTTTGTGGCAAGAAAACTGCCTCTGTACATTGGACACGCATTTTACCCACTGATATACTGGGCACCACAATATTACATTATTTTGCTTTATATTTATATTATTTAATTAGTTATATAATAATAATGATAATATAGTCTGTGTTGTCAAAACAATGGTTGTAAAGAGATATTGGTGTTATTGTGATGTGTTAGAGAAGGAAGATGACGAAGTGTAACATATATAGGTGCTGTTATATCCCATAATAATAGTAAAAAGCTTATGGGTTCTATGGAAACACATCAACACATCCCATTTTTTCTCTCCACCTGTGTTTCTATTTATAACTCTACATATATCTCTCTCTCGTCAGTGTGTGGGGGAGGAGATCTGGGTGGACAGTCGGACGGTGTACATCGGGCATAAAGAACCTCCTCCGGGAGCTGAGGCCTACATCCCTCAGCGTTACCCCGACAACCGCATCGTCTCCTCCAAGGTGAGCGAGCCGCAGCGGCTGAATCAGTGCCATAACATTGTTTACCATCACACTGTTCTTCTGTTTCATACTTAGACAGCCATGTAATCTCTTTTGTGGCCACGTTTTTAAGCGTGATACATTTCACTTTTCTTGCGTTTGTCAAGCTGCGAGTCAACGTTTCTCTCGCCAGAGGGACCAAATGATGATGTGCCATTGTTTTACCCTTCTGCTTCTATGTGTGTGACGTTAATTCTGCTGTCACTCTGTCCCACAGTACACCTTCTGGAACTTCATACCCAAGAATTTGTTTGAGCAGTTCAGAAGAATCGCTAACTTCTACTTCTTGGTTATTTTTCTGGTCCAGGTGAGATTTAAGCAGTGGTTATTTCTTTACACCTGTCTTTGTTTAGTATGAAAATACACCACCAAAGCTCTGAAAAAATAGAAAATACTCTCCCAGCTGTCCATTTGTTAAAAGCTAACAAACATTGCATCTCTATGTCCATTTTGTGCTTTGTTTTTTAAATACCTGGCCTAGCTTTAATTAAAGCGCATGGCTTTGCATCAAGATATTTTCAGGGCAGCTGGAGAAGTTTGACAGCTGAACACTACCTCGTTTTTCATACACAGGTAACTAAATAGTTTAAATTAGATTCAGAATCTTGAGGCAGGTTTAAACTAGGGCTGCCCCTGACCAAGAATTTTCCTAGTCGAACAATAGTCGTCATTTAGGGCCATTAGTCGACTAGTCGCCTGCTTGTTTATCATAGAACCTGCTTATACCTGGTATTAACATCTTTTGGTGATCTGGACACAAGTGGACAACCGTGAAACATTGCCATTCACACCCATTGTCTTTCATGGGTCTACAGCTGTGTTCAGATTTTGTCACTGCCTATGTTATGTAGGGTTCTTTCACACCTGCCCTGTTTGGTTCAGTTCAATCGAAGTCAAGTTCGTTTGCCCCATAAGTGCAGTTCATTTGGGCAGGTGTGAACACAGTAATCACACTCAGGTGCGCACCAAAACAACTGGACCGAGACCTTCTTGAAGATGTTGTCTCGGTCCGGTTACAAACGAACTCTGGTGCGGTTTGTCTGTGGTGAGAACCAGGTATACAAGCTCATAGATGCATTCAGAATATCGTAAAGAGCTCCTTTAACCCATTTCATAGTTAAGATACTGTTCTTTAGTTTTTCCGGATATTTATTGGTCCTCATATCCTTAAATTAACTCATGGCTGGTAAAAAGGTGCTGTCTCTGTAAGCTTGTTAATGACATGAGTGCTGATAGCAGTTTGGACCCTACTGTCATTGTTCCCTGATTTCAAAATAAGAGCCGTTATCCAAGATTAACAATTAAATAGTGCACCTGTGCTCGAGGTTACCTGGATGAGGACTACCAGCACAATTTGAACTTGATAAAATCACATTATCCTGTAACAGTAAGAGCTGTACTGCTCAGTGTCTGTCTGTCTAAATCAGAATCAAAGAGAAGCGGCTTTTTCCTTGAGCAACTATATTGTAGCAAATGTTGAATAATCATGCAAGGACAAAGTCATCATAGAGGAGGAGGAGGAGGATACAAGGAAGTCTTTACCAGCAGTAGGGCTGCCCCTGAGTAAGAATTTTCCTAGTCTACCAATAGTCGTCATTTAGGGCCATTAGCCGACTAGTCACCTGCATGTTCCTGATGTTAATTTGACTATCAAATGACAATGGTTTGAGTTGAAGGTGTGAGAAAGAATAGTATCAGTAACATTGTTAACACTGTGCTACATTACAGAGAAATACAAACCCGACTAATGAACCTTCATTAATATAGGCCTATATTTTATCTACAAGTGCATGTCACACACTGAGCGAGCCGCCTGTTAATGACGCTGTGGGCTAATGGGCATGTAGCTACTTCCATGTTTCAGATGATACGTCATGTTTGTAGTCGACCAATGAAGATGAGTTTACATATCACCTTGGGTTCGTCCTTCACCTTCTCAAAATGATCCCACACTTTGGATTTCCTGCCCGACATGTTATTAACTAGCCTGTGGAATAACCGCAGGTAACAGCCCTGGAAATTAGGGGCCGTACACATGGTGTGTCTTTAACCGCCTCTTCCTGTGTCTGTCCTTCCAAATTAAAGTCCTACATGGTCCAGTCATATAGGTTTTTATTTATTTTGACAAGGTGCAGCTCCTAATGGAGTTTGTTTTTTTTCTGCGACTAAGCAACCAATGAAATGTTGCCAAATAATTATCTTTCTGGTTGATTATTAGGGGGCAGCCAGCAGTCACCAGAGTGCAACATAGTGTTGGGTGTTTGTGTGCTGTATGTTTTAACAGCAGCATGTGAAATACTACACCCTCTTAATGGGGCAAAGTGGCACACAGCAGCAATGTTTGTACTCTTTGTTTTCTTAGACTGAAAAGTTTTGCTTTCCACATTATGCGCATGAACTGTCTGTAAAAGTAAGGAAGGAAACAAAAACGCAAGATAACTATCTCTGAATGGACTTTCTGAGTGCAGAAGGAGGAAACCAAACAATATTTGATTACTCGGATACTTTAACGTTGCTAGACTTGTGCTTGGTTCCTTATTACAGAAGCTTTTCCCTGCTGCACTTCCTTACTCAGCGTTGCATTACTTGGCATCCTCTCCCCTCTCCTTTCTGTTGCCCCCCCCCCCCCTTCCTGCTACCCCTCCTCCCACTCTTCCTCTCCCTTGCAGCTTATCATCGACACCCCCACCAGCCCAGTCACCAGCGGCCTGCCCCTCTTCTTTGTTATCACTGTCACCGCAATAAAACAGGTAGGACACACACAAACATGCTCGCATTTCTGGGGGAAATATTGCTCACACACACCAACTCCCGGCCTCAAACACACAAATACACACACACTCTCTCTACCAATCGGCTGCTCTATTATCTGTATATACACATTCCTCTCTCAGCGAAAGGACATGCCATTGAATATGTCTGGTGATGTGAGAAATATGATAATGAATGGTCTGCTCTGTTAATCACTCTAGCTGAGCATCCCATGCCCCTGGGAGATGCATCCTCTCTACCGCGTCCCGCTACTGAGGGATGGGGTACTATCAGTGATAGATGGAGCTGTTCTGGCTAAGGAAGCCTGAGTTTTGCTGGGGCATAAATCTAAAACATGACGTGCTGGCTAGAAATCCAGGAAGCAGGTCACTAAGCTCAGGGAGCACAATGCTAATTAATTACAGAGTATGACTTTCACCTCTCCCGTTCCGTCTCTCTTGATCTCACACTATGCTCTGGCCCCGATTCTCTCTGCACACAATAATCTATATTTGCCGTTTCCCTGCTGCCAACAAACACATTGGCTTCCTCTCTCCTTACAATCTTGTTCTCTATCCCTGTTTCTCTCTCGCTGCTCTCTCAGGGCTATGAGGACTGGCTCCGACACAAGGCTGACTGCTCTATAAACGAGTGTCCGGTGGATGTGGTGCAGCAGGGGAAGGTGGTGAGGACACAGAGTCACAAGCTGCGGGTAAGAATGGCCTCATTAGAGCAGTATAGCACCTGAGGCCACAAAGCAACACTACAGTACTGCTGCATAGCTCACTTTCTCTATAACTGCCTCTCACACTCCCCCCTTCTCTTGTTCTTCTCTCCGCAGTCCCCTCTCTAACTTTGTTTCCTTCCTCTCTTGCTCTCTCTTGTCTTTGCCACCAATTAATTGCTCTGAAACTGTAGTAGAGGAACAATTACAGTGTCCCCCCGGTGCACCATGCAAGAGTCCCTTGGCAAATGAACAGGACTGATGTATTTCACAAGTTAGGATATTCCTGTCATCATCCTGTGATGTTCTCTTATGTCATTCTGATGCAACAGCAGATCACAGTATAGTATCGTGTCTCTCGCTTATAATCCATTTGACTTATTTTATATCAAAACACATTTTCAATACTATTTATGGCCGGCATTTTCGGTAATAACATTCAATATTATTTGCAATATTACTGCCTTTCTATGTAGTGGTTTTTCTTGTTACTCTTGGAGACCTCCCTTCCCATGTTGACTATAAATTGCGCGCCCACGCTCAAGGGATTTTGTGAAACGCAGACATCGAATGCCCCGTTTAGCCTTCTTTCTTATAACAAAGCAATGCAAGGAATCCTCCTAATAAAGGAATACTTCACCCTCCAAATCATCAGTTAATCACCTCATGTTACGCTGAATTTGTGAGGAAATCTTCACAACTTCAGTGGACGATGAATCCAAAAATGGAGGGAATGATTTAAAGTCCCAGAGGTCCATGTTTAACAACAGAAAACTAGCACGAAAAGCTGACACTGCTTTGCTGTGTGAGTGTTTTTGCTTGCTAGCGAAACATCCTGGCGTAGACTATTTACTGGAGTTTACCAGCCTGTCGTTAGAAGATTAAGCATGGCTGCTCTGGTGCTTCGATGTCAGATAGTCCACCACTGAGATTTTGGTCACGTCTCGTCTCATCTCGTTAAGTCAATGAAAATATAACATAGATTGCGTCTTAGTTTTTGTTATCAAGATCTATTTTAGCTCGTCATCGTCTTACTTTCGTCATGGAAAAAAGGTTGTTGATGAACAATTTTCGTCATAGTTTTCGTCAACGAAATTAACACCAGTCTACAGCTGCCTCGATATACGTGCAAACAAGTAGAGAATACATCTACAAAGAGGCTGCTCGAGGTGTATTTGCTGCCCCCAGTGGTCGACTGATATGTCATTTCGCACAGAAATCTGGGACATTAATGTATATGTGCAGTTACCACTAGGTGTTGCCAAATACACCAGGACAGAAGTGTTAGAGAATAAAACATTATTATATATTCTTGTCTCTGTCAACGAATCTATGAAAGCAACATGTATTAGCTGCCACTCAATACTTAATGATTTCTCCACCCTGTTTGTTCCAATCCCAAGTGTATTCATCCCTTCTGAAGACATTTTAAAATGTGTCACAAATATACATAGATTTTAGAAAGCTAAATAATCCCGTAAAGCAGCTGGGCAGTGCAGCTTTGAGAAAATATAAACAGACTGACTATTTGTTGCAGACTATTTTAAGCAGCTACGACAGCAGGGCCTTGAATGTGGAGGTGACTCAAAATAAACTACAGTGCCTGTGTTCAGTGTAATGAATGAACACGTCACCCAGAGCAGCTGTGTGGCTCATTTATATGTTCTGAATAGTCCACAGTGGAGGTTTATGGCACAGAGGAGTAATCTATACCAGGCTGGCTTCGACTTCACCGTATTTATTAATGGTCTATTTTAAGTTTTGTTCTTTTTATGAGGTTTGATGTCAATGTGTTGTCATTTTCTATGACATCATGTAAAAATGTAATAGCGCAAAATGAAACATACTTGCAGGGTAAATGCATTAACACAGTCAGAACAAGTATAACCTTGAAGCTGTATAGCTTCATCTAAATTGACTAACAAGCGCTGATATAACTGACAGTATCCCAGATATATCCAGTCAGGTGTTAGCAATTGTCTGTGGTCACTACTTCACTAAATGATTCTCAGCACATCTGCAAATCTTAAAAAGTGTTGAATTTAATTTTCCTCCTTCCTTAACCCCAAAGTTAAAATCATACATTTTATCTGCTTTATTTTATATTACCTAGGGCTGCCCCCGACTAAGAATTTTTCTAGTCGACCAATAGTCGTCATTTAGAGCCATAAGTCGACTAGTCGCCCGCATGTTTACAATATTAATTTAATTATTAAATGATATATTCTGGGCTGGGCAACACAATGGTTTGAGTTGAAGGTGTGAGAAAGAATAGTATCAGTAACATTGGCCTATATTGCACGTCACACACTGAGCGAGCCGCCTGTTAATGACGCTGTGGGTTAATGGGCATGTAGCTACTTCCATGTTTCAGATGATACGTCATGTTTGTAGTCGACCAATAAAGATGAGTTTACATATCACCTTGGGTTCGTCCTTCACCTTCTCATAGTGATCCCACACTTTGGATTTCCTGTCCACTGTTATGCGGTCGAAATTTTAACGTACTCGAGGCAAATTCCGGACTGAAATATTAGCTTATTAGCTATAATATTAGCTTAAATACTAGCTTAGCTAACAGACTGCTAACCAGCTAACAGGCTGTTTCCTTCAGTGCAGTTGCCTATGTTGATCGTCAAGTGAGTTTGTATGATTAAAAACAGCGTGTTTATCTAGTTTTAACACATTGGGAATCTTAGTAATGGTATTTAGCTAAAATATGGTTATACATTATACACAATCAGATCGTCATTATGACTCATTCAGCTGTTCATTCATCTTTTTAATCAAATACTTACTAAAACATGCCACGTACCTGGCAGGTCCTGTTTCTGTCCCGGTAATGTTCCAAGCGTATATTCCAAACCAAACTGACAAAATTAGCCTCTCCAACATGGCTACAGTAAGTTTCTATCAAGTTTCTATCCATCCTTAAAGAAATGCACTTCCCTGCGTTGGCCACTAGAGGCATCATCTGTATATTTACATAATACATAATTGTACCTACCAGTTTTCTGTGATGGTATGAGTTTGAAAAATATCTCAAATTGCATTTTACACAGTGTGAAAAAGGTCTTTAAAAGGCTTGAATTAAATTTGGTGAACACTGCAGAGACCCTGATTCTACAATGGAGATGAATGGCAATAACAGTGTTACTTTGTTGGGACTATTGAGCAGCAACAAGAATGGTAGCATTATGATACAGTAAGTAAGACGCCCATTAATATTGTTTTGTTTTATTCAGTCGTCCTAAATCCTGGTAGGTGATGTAAAAAACATGAACCAGCGTCACTGGGCTGGTGTATTACTCTGCAGATATGTATCTTATATCATCCCGGCGTGAGTGAAAATGGAGGTGTCAGACTACATAACGTGAGTGTCTAGCTCAGCACCTCCTATGTAGATGCACAGATACGGTATATCTCAGTCTTGTTTCACCACATCTAATTTCTGCTGCGTCTGCTGCTCCTGTCGAGTGTGCAGATGCTGTGCGGGATGAGGAGGGTCAGCTTAGAGAAAGGTTTCAATACAGTCTCCCAGCCTTAAAGGTTACAGAGTGCTTATAGTTTGTGTTGCCATAGCAGTAGTTTCCCCTGGATTTCATTGGTGGAGAAAGACATTGTACATTGAAATTCTGTCTTGTTCTGTCTTTGTCTGTCTCCCAGCGTTTTCTGTACCAAGGTTTCTCAGTGCCGTAGATCAAACAGAGAGGATTAGAGTGTGGATCGGGAGAAGGAATAATGATGAATATATTAATCATGCAAAATCAGAGAGCGTGTGTCATGTGTATGGTCACCGTGGAGATGGGATTTATCAGAGCTTAAGCTGCTCCGCTCGCATAATCCGTTATGCAACTTCTCAATCCTTTGACAAAAAAAAAAAAAAAAAAAGAATAGTAAAGGCTGAGCAGATGATTCCCCACAGGTCTGTCTGTTTGTCTGTTAGTATCTGTGTTTACGTGGCGCTCTCGTCAAAATGCTTCTTATGTATTATTGATGTGAAAGCCATTATGAGGTCTGTGCTGTGTCTGTTCCGCTCTGTTAGGTGGGGGACATTGTCGTGGTAAAGGAGGACGAGACTTTCCCCTGTGACCTCATCCTGCTCTCCTCCAGCCGCGATGATGGGACGTGTTATGTCACCACCACCAGCCTGGACGGGGAGTCCAGCCACAAGGTGCCGGGAACAGTGCAGGATTTTAATTCTGTGTCTTTTAACTTTAAGAGGGTGACTTTGGTGTTTTACAACCCTGTTTTCCCATGTTTTGTTTCCAAGTGACTAATGGGGACAGCAGTTTTTAAATCAGTTCAGTACTGAGCGACACAGGCAGAGGGTGAAACAGACTGCAGTGTAACGTTATGCTCCATCAATGTACATCAACTAAAAGGTCTTATTTTTGCCACTGACAGGCTCAGATTATTATTCAAAGTGTCTGACAGTTTGTGGAAAGGATCCTTACAGAGATAGACCTTTTTGTTGAAGAGTAAGATCCTTTTGGTTTAACCATAAATGGCCCCCAAATCACCATAACCAAACCCTTAATCTCCTCTGAAATAAACAATAATTTTATCATCATAAACACACTTTAGATAGAAGAAACATTGGTTCAGATCAGTCGAACATTGGTTCGGTTCAGTTGAACTCAAGTTCGTTTGCCTCCTAAATGTGATTAATTTGGGCAGGTGTGAACATAGCGATCACACTCAGGTGCGCACCAAAACAACCAGACTGAGACCTTCTTGAAGAGGTTTACAAACAAACTCTGGTGCGGTTCGTTTGTGGTGAGAACGTGTTCCGACCTGGATCTGAACCATCTGCAGTCACATGACACATTGTTTGGGTTAAACATGAGCATGTTACAGTCCTGGAGGATTATTAATGTGCACCTCCTCCTGTACTGCCTTAATATGCACATTCAGCACTTTCATTGCATCAAAACATTGTTTTCTAGTTGGAGCCGCGCCTCGTTTTCAAACTGTATGCTTTGACTAAAATGAACAATGACAGCAATATAGTCCACGATGAGCAGCGCTAAAATCAACCTGCGTAGTTGTCCCTCCATTGTGACATTAGAAAGTGTCACATTTATCTTGCAAGTGTACTCTTCTTCAACGTTTTGTTTACTTCCTGGATTTTTCCCACATTTCCCACAATTCTGACCAATCAGGAGCAGCTTTCTTGCGCAGGCATTTTATCTGGTCCGCTTGTAAATGCTGCCATGAGAACATGAACCAACTCTAGGTAATTATACAGCTTTGTAAGAAAATTAGTCCCTGATTCGGACCAAAGCAAGACAACTCTAGGTCTGAAAGCACCCTGAAATGGAGTCTTGTGGGTTTGCCGATACCAACTTCAGGGCTGTTTCTGGTCAAACAAAAAAGACCCATCTCTGTAGGGATCCCTTTTATAATGCTGTGACACTTACAATAACAATCTGAGCCAGTCGGTGACAAAAACAACCGCTTAGTGAACGTAAATTGTCAGTGCACAAATGCCCGTTGCAGTCACATTGCAGTCTGTTTTGCTGCTGCTCTCTCACTCAATACTGAATCAATTTAAAAATCTTTTGTCACCATTAGTCACTTAGACACAAAAACATGTGAAAATAAGGTCCAGGTTGAAAAACACAGAACTTAACCCTTTAATGAAAAACATACCATCTTCACCCTAAAACAATAAAGCTGTATGATTCAGTAGGTCTTTATAAAACAAGTCAGCTAAATCTAAGACTTTTTTAAGTGTTAAAAATATCAAACAGTTCTCATATGTGTGAATTTGGTGCTTGTCTTTATTATACATTATGTTTGGTTTTAGACAAAACAAGTAATTTGGAGACATCGCCTAAGGCTGACGTAAACTGTGATGCCTTTGTCAGTATTTTCTTAGAATGGTTAATCAAGAAAATAATAAGCAGATCAATCAGTAGTAAAAACAATTGGTAGTTGCAGTCATATACTTATCAATCAACACATGAACTCACACACATACACATGATGATGGAAGTGACACACAGTCACGCACGGCATTTCACATTTTCACTTCTACTCTGATGTTCATTGATGTCACTCACACGACCGCACGCATGGCTGAGCACACACACACACACATCACAGAGTGTAGCGTAGAGTACTCCACCCACTCTCCTCATACATGCCTCTGGGTTGACCCCCTGATGCGCTCACCATCCCAGCGTGCTGTCCTCTCCTGACCCGGGGAGCGGTCTCTAACAGCTCACCTCCCTGACTCGCCCAGTCATTTAGAAAATCTGCTGGAAGCCAGACGGAGGAGTCAAATGAACCCTGCTCTCATTAGTGGCTGCGGGTGACATTTTCCTCTGTTGTCTTCTTCTCCTTCCCCCCTTCTTCCACCTCTCTATCTCAGACCTATTATGCTGTACAAGATACCATGGCCTTTAGAACAGAGCGGGAGGTGGATTCGCTACATGCCACTATTGAATGTGAACAACCGCAGCCTGACCTCTACAAGTGAGTGTGACACTGATGTTCACTGATGCATCTTTGTGAACATATTATTATCTGCCACCTCTCAGAAGTGGATATCCCCTTGTTGCTACTCTTGATTTAATTTTGCTGTGACTTTTTTGCAGATTTGTGGGACGCATCAATATTTACAAGGACAAAGAAGAGCCTGTGGCGAGGTGAGTACTTTTAATTCTACAAGGCCGATGCTTTTTCTCAATTAATCAAATGTCTTTAATGGTGTTTGTGAAATAAGGACAGCCAAGGATTCTGTCTGTTTCATTCTTGCAGACCACTCGGGGCTGAGAATTTGCTCCTTAGAGGAGCCACACTGAAGAACACACAACGTATTTATGGTATTTATGGCAGACTCATTCTTGAATATCGTCATGTTCAAGCTAAGTTAGAGGAAAGGCTGATGTCGTTTCTCTCCCCTCAGCTGTTGCAGTCTACACTGGCATGGAGACTAAGATGGCGCTTAATTACCAGTCTAAATCTCAGAAGCGCTCCGCTGTAGAAAAGTATGATTAACGTCCCCACTCCTTTAACTGCATGACTAAGATTTATAGCGGGATCGGTACATTTCCTCTTCCCTCCTCCTGATCTTCACTCTGTCTCTCTGCAGGTCGATGAACGCCTTCCTGATCGTGTATCTGTGCATCCTGATCAGTAAAGCGGTGATCAACACGGTTCTGAAATACGCCTGGCAGTGGTCTCCGGACCGAGATGAGCCCTGGTACAACCACAGGACTGAGAACGAACGCCAGCGCCACGTGGTCTGTTCATCAACCTTTAAACTTAAAGGGATAGCTCACCCCAAAATCAAAAACACTTATTTCCCCTCTTACCTGTAGTGCTGTTTATCAGTATAGATTGTTTTGGTGTGAGTTGCAGAGTGTTGGAGATATCAGCCGTAGAGATGTCTGCCTTCTCTTGAATATAATGGAACTAGATGGCACTCAGCTTGTGGTGCTCAAAGTGCCAATACATCTGAAAAACTCAACAGCAATGTCTCTCTCTAGAAATCATGACCCTGTTACTCAAGATAATCCACAGACCTTGTTGTGAGCAATTTCATGTCGGAACTATTTTCTTTCTTCTGACCTTTGCCTCTATGGTAATGCTCATTCTCTGCTTAGTGAATTTGTTAGAAGACACCAGCATGCCAGCAGAGTAAACACACAGGCCTCAACAAATGGTAGCTGTCGCATTGCATTACACAAAACAACACACCAGTCACCCCAAGGTTTTTAATGTTTATAGGCCTGTGGCCCTGACTTCCCTTGTCATAAAGTCCTGCCTTGATTGATAAAAAGAGAACTCCTTTTCAAAACTGAGCAACTACTTGACCCACGTCAGTTTGCATACAGGGCTTGTCATGGCGTCAAACATGCTACTGCCACTCTGCTGAACCTTGTTTTAAACATCATGAAGGATGCAAAACACATGCCAAGCTGCTATTTGTATATTTCTTGTTTGCTTTTTACATATTCCAACCCCACATTTTAGTCCACAAACATATTAATAATTTTAGTTTGAATTTTGATATTGTGGGCTGTATCCTTGATTTTCCTTCCTGGCTGCAGAGAGTGAGGGTGAGTGGATGCATGTCGGGATACCAAAAAACCTACACCTGCCAATCGCATCACTGCGCAGAAGGAAGTGTTCACCTACTCATGGCGAGAGGCTAGTGCTTGTGCGAGATGTAAACATTAATGGCGTCCTCCTCGACTGAGCTGTAATGTTAGCTAGCTCAGTGCTAGGTGAGCTCGCAGTAGATGCACCCTTCCTTCTGTATGGTGATTTGGTTTGAGGGTGTTTTTAGGTAGAAAGTAAATAGTTCCTACATGAAACTGCTCACAACAATCTGTGGATTATCTTGAGTAACCAGGTCATGATTTCTGGAAAGAGACATTGCTGCTAAGTATTTTAAATGTATTTTTTTTGTCACTTTGAGCACCACAAGCTGAGTGCCATCTAGTTCCATTATATTGGAGAGAGGGCAGACATCTCTATGGCTGATATCTCCAACACTCTGCAACTCACACCAAAACAATCTAGACTGATAAACAGCACTACAAGTAAGAGGAAAAATATGTGTTTTTGATTTTGGGGTGAACTGTCCCTTTAAAAACATAGTCTTGACATCCAGTCCCAAATCTAATTTCCCTATAACTTCATTGCTGTTGTCTATCTTCCTCCCCACTTCAGGTGATCCGAGCATTCACAGACTTCCTGGCCTTCATGGTCTTATTTAATTACATCATCCCAGTGTCTATGTACGTGACAGTGGAGATGCAGAAATTCCTGGGCTCATATTTCATCACCTGGGATGAAGAAATGTTCGACGAAGAGCTGGGAGAAGGAGCTCAGGTCAACACCTCTGACCTGAACGAGGAGCTGGGGCAGGTACGTGAGCACACACACACACACACTCACACACACATTTGCATCTGCATTTCAGCTGTCTGCAGATGTGCCCTCACCCTACCCTTTGTCTTCCTTCCCTCCCAGGTGGAGTATGTGTTTACAGATAAGACAGGCACACTCACTGAGAACAACATGGAGTTTATTGAATGCTGCGTCGATGGGAACGTCTACATCCCGCATGCCATCTGCAACGGCCAAATCCTCAGCGCTGCCTCCAGTATAGACATGATTGACTCCTCACCTGGAGGATACAGGAGAGTAAGTATGTGTGTAACTAAACCAAACAGGCTTCTAAATCCAGCCTGAATAGACTCTTGGCTGTGCTAACGCTGCTGCTGAATGAAGATGGAGACAAGAGTGAAGAAAACTCAACATATTTCAGTCTGAAATGTGAGTGAGCCACTTGAAGATTAACTAACATGTCACGTTTTCAGGCAGGAGGACCATTAAAGTAATTAGCTCTGACATTTCCATATACACAAATACTTGTTTTGCTGATAAACACAGTAATGATGCAGCCTGTGTATAAAGTTCATGAACACTCTGACATTTCCTTTGTAACCCATAAGTGTTGGCTGTGTCTTACATGGGGGGAAAAAAGTCCTCTGGTACACAGAAAAGTGATGAGCCGTGCATTTCTGGCAGCAGCAACAGGGATTTGTTTAGATTTAATAGAAGAAAAATTGTGTAGTCAGCATGAGCAGCAGAAGCCACCACAGATGACCAGAGAGAGGAGAGAGCACTTTCTGCCAAAACTTAGAGTGCAGAAAACTTCAGAAAAAAAGATTTTGTAGATATGCTGCTTGGTTTTCTCTCTAAGTTTGGGAAAAATTGTTAAAAAATAGCACAGTAATGACTTAATAGCAGAAGTGGGACCAAGCCATTGTTTTGCAAGTCCCAAATCCTCAACAACTCACAGCTCTTCACCAAATGTAATGCCATTTCAGTCAGGAATACTTGAGCCAAAGAAAGCTTTATTTCCATTTGCAGTATTATATTTGGCGGTATGGCTCTGTTCTGGGGCCTCTCTGCCTTTCCTAGGCCTCTGCAGAAATCCTCTTCATGCGCCTACATGGAAAACCTAAGACAGAAAGAGCACACCTCTCTGCCCTTCCATGTGCAAACGAGAAAAGCCTAAGGCAGAGAGAGCAAACCTTCCTGCCCTTCCACACACCTACATGGAAAGCCTAAAGCAGGGGGAGCAGCAGCAATGATATAATAAATATATTAAATCCACAAATATCGTGAATGTTTCTTGAAATGTTTCTTCTTTGTATTTATTAGTTGGGTCAAGTTTGTTGGAAGTTGTTGCATCTCCTTCTGTGATTTTTGACCCCCACATTTTGCACACAGCAATACATTTTTTGTTCTTATTTTTGTATGCAAACAAATGTATCATTTTTTCTGACTTGCGCTCAGAAACGTAAGGTTAGTTCTTCATGGTCCTGTAACTTGACTGGATGCTGTCAGATTGGATCAAACAAAATGGATCTGGGTAATAAGGGTCAGCTTGTTGGGAATCAAAGGCATTAATGTTTGTTGTTCGGGAAATGAAGGAAAATTAATTCATTCATGGCACACTTTTTAAACAACATACTTTTTAGTCATTGCACTTGGGTGGGAAGGTATCAAGTATTTTCAAGTCAAAAGGCTCAAGTCCAAGTGAGGTCATGAGTCGCTGGTGTTAAAGTCCAGGTCGAGTTGCAATTCTTTTTTAAATTTTATCGAGTACAGTCTAAAGCTATCATATTTGTGACTTGAGTCGGACTAAGTCATGTCACTTGTGTCCACACCTCTGTTAAATGGCACCAAACATGTCCATTAAATGGAAAGAAACTTCAGGATTAGTGGGTTAAAAATAGAAAAGATGCTGGGAAAACCAAAATTGGGCTTCTAAAGAAGTTCTGACCTTTTGCATTTCTTTTTAATGATGCACTTTTGAGAAAAATTTACAAACAGGGAAACTTTACTGAGCTCCCCTCCAGCATAGTGTAACATAAACATTAAGAGAGAAACGTCATTAAGAGTAGTGATGCTGTATTTGCCAAATTCCTACATTACCTATGATATGGAACGGTCTTTTCAGGGTTGCAGGAATGAAAATTAGTCATGTTGTGTTCTGGTTTTAGAATGATGAAGATACAAATTAGGATGGGGGCCCTACAGGATGATTTTTTTTCTTATTTCATGTTTTTCCCTAACCATGTATGGATATTTAGGCATTCTCTTATCTAAGATGTCTTGAAAAACAGTGCATATAGCTGCTGTAAATGGGAGAAAGAAAAAAAAATCAACCCCCTAGGTTTGGGCTGAACCTCGAATGTCTACAACATCTGTCTCCGCCCCTGTGACAAAGAGTTTGTTTTGTGTCTGTAGGAACACGAGGATCTGTTCTTCCGGGCGCTGTGTCTGTGTCACACGGTGCAGGTGAAGGAGGAGGAGACAGTGGACGGCATCAAGAGAGGCATCCACCAGGGCAGGCCCACCTCCTTCTACATCTCCTCTTCACCGGATGAGGTGGCTTTGGTGGAGGGAATGAAAAGGTAAACACGCGATTTGCAAAATTACTTTGCAGTAAGTAAGCAGGCAGTGTCTCTGTTTTGTTGTGTTGGCTCTGCACTCTAACAAATTGGATGTAAAATACAAATTGTTCAGACTTTCAGCTTAAATTTGAACGTGTTTACATTCACATCAGATTAACAGCGTCAGAACTGTAGCTCTTTATGTTATATTAATAGTCCCCAATTTCTAGGGCACCAGGATAAATTCAACTTTAATCGTTTTGTTTGATATTTGGAAAGAAATCCTGTTGTCAATCACTGTCTGAAGTGTCCAACACATACACACACATTAGCATATACTTGGTGTCTTCCTCGTAGTCTTCCTCGTCTTCCTCGTGCAGTTAAAATGTCCCAACATTAGGGAGCAATCAATTCCACTGCATGGTACTGCACGGCTCTCACTCTTTTTTGGTTTTCCGTCCAATATTTTAGCTACCGTCAAAAGCCAAAAAAAAAAAAAAATTTTTTTAGAGATTTTTTTTTGGGGGCGTTTTCAGCCTTTAATGTATAGGACAGACAAGTGTGAAGGGGCCATGCAGACGTTCCTCTGTTTGGTTGCCGATGAAAGGACTCTGCAAGAGCTATTCTTTTAAGTAACCAGCTTTGTTTTGTTCACCTGCGACTATTGAACTGACCCATGAACAACTTTTTTTGGTTCTGTTTTTCAATTCTCTTTATTACGCTCATTCTTCAGCTCACGGAGTGTGTGCTGTGTGCTACTGGGTAAGCTGCTAAATGAGAGTCTGTCATTTCTTGTTGCGACTCGAGTGAACTCGTTCCTCTTTAAAGGTCTAGTGTATAGGATTTAGTGACATCTAGTGGTGAGGTTGCAGATTGCAACCAACTAAACCTCTCCTGTGTGCCAAGTGTGTAGGAGAGCTGTAGTGGCAGACACAAAAACACAAATGGCCCTATCTAGAGGCAGTGGGTGTGTGCTGAATCGCATACTTTTTCTTTTTACTTTTAGTATGAACTGTTGCTGCCCTTAGAAAGTACGTACTGTTGCATGCATGCAGTTGACATACTACTTTCTCGTAATATTATGCCCTAAACTTTGACTCTCTTGCACATATATTTTGATACCTTGGAGATAAAACGACGGTCACTGAGTTCGCCAGAGACGGAGATCAACCTAGAGAGCTCTGATGTTGTTGTTACTTTGCAATGTATGTAATTTTGACTTTGAAGTTATAACTGCGTACAAGGTAGATTATAACATATTCTATGCTCTGTTATTGTTATTTTCATTGTTATGTCCTTTTGATTATTTTGTTCATTTAAACAATATTCCTGTTATTACTATTTCATCATCACTTACTTTAATTTCCTGTCAGCTGTCATTGCAACTTCTGAAAGCTGTCAGTCACTTGTCAACACACTGTCATCTGTTTGCAGCTCAGCTGATGTGACGTATAGTCCGCTGTGCAGTGGATTGTGGGTCAGAATAGCCAGAAAAACATGCTGGCTTACATACTGCAAAATCTGATTGGATGTAGTAGAACATCCTGGTATTTTTGGCATATTGCATTTCACCTGCTGTGTATTGGGACGTACTAAATCTTTTTCTGGCACACTATACAGTATGGTAGTATGGGTACTGGAATACATAGAGTGTTTGGTTTGTCCGTTTTGGGCTACTGTAGAAACAAAATGGTGTATTCCATGGAAAAGGACCTGCTCCACATGTAGATATAAACTTAATTTAAAAAAACAGCAATTTATAAATCTCAGATCACTAGCTGAAGATGATGTCACAGCAGATGATCAGCTGAGAATTCCACCTGCACTGAGGGAACACTATCTGCAGTGGATAATGAAATAGAGAAAAGGACTCTGTACCAAAAGTGAATTGATTCAAATTGAGTCGAGCCAAACCATGCAGTGGAGCTGAGGCTACACACTCTCAAACACCATAATTGGTGAAGTTTAGCGCTTCATCCAACACAAGGGCGAGCGTGTCACAGCTGAGAACACAACACACTGGTGAATCAAACGTTAACATAGCTGCTAGAACACTGGGAAGTGATTGCTGCTGTGAAAACTTTACAGAGTAGTGAAACGCTGTCTCATAGCATTATAAGCTGTGGTATTTTTGGCATCACATAAGCTATAAAATGAATGGCTATAGTATTCAAACTGGACTCCCTGGATCATATTGCTGTTGGGAGAAGTTTCTTCAAGAAAAAAATCATGGTTTGGGTGTAAAATAAATAGACTTCTGCCAGAAAGACAAACTGCTGCCACGTGCACTCGTATTTCATCTGAAGCAGACCCTTACGTTGTTTTTAAACATGGTGCTATTTCTGGTCTGTATGTGGCCTGAGACACGTAAGACACATGATCCAACATGCCAAGTTACAGTTTGTTGCTCTCTCGTATTGCTGTCACTGGTGTGTACTGTAGCATGATACACATGAATAATATTGACACTCACACTTAAATGAATCCTTTCCCTCTCTCCTCTTTTCCCTCTCTGTCTTCTCCAGGCTGGGCTACACCTATCTGAGACTGAAAGACAACTATATGGAGATCCTCAACAAAGACGATGAGATTGAAAGGTTGGTCTGTTGTGTGGTTACACCACAGGAGACAGAATAGGAGTAATTCAGTTGATGGAGCTGTGGTCATACATCAGCCGCCCGCAGAGAGAGGGCTCTCAGATTTTGTTACGTGTTCCTACAGAGGTTAGAAACAGCCGCAGAAGAGCGGGCAGAGGGTTGTTTTTAGAAGCTGCTCGATCAGATCAAAACGCTCCGACTGATCTGGAAGAATGAAAGGCGGCGAGATTCCATTAGAGAGTGGTTTTGTGGAAAATGTCTAATGTTTTGATCCGTAGGGAGGACTCATGCAACCAGGCTCTCTCTCCATCACTCTCTGCAGTGGCCTGTCAATAGTGAGCTATTTTAAGGAGGCAGGGGAGCTGGAGAGGGGGAGGGGAGGAGGGATGTGTGTGTATATGTGTGTGTGTGTGTGTGTGTGTGTGTGTGTCCAGCAGATGCTAAGGCTTTGCAGGGAATGGAAAGGCAAAAAGTCCTCTTCTCACACTTGTTATTTTTCACCATTAATAGGGACTCTGAATCGTTTGGCCCTTTACAGAAACAACCAAGATGCCTTTAATTCAAATCCCAAACCTCAGACTGTTAGTTTCAGTCTGTATTATGGTTCACTTCACTTGAATTACGGTTTGCATGTTCAACAGTTCAGATCATCTACAACTCTCATAAAAACAGACACATGGATCATTCAGTTGGAAGTGGTGAAACTGCAAGAGGCACTTGATGCAAGTGACCTTCTTAAGAAACTGTGGTATATAATTACTTAAAAAACCCAAAACATTATTAAATGTTATTGTACTGCAAGAGAATCATAAAGGTTTCTCCTAAAGTAACCATTTGCTAAACAGCCTGCGCCCTTGAAAAGTCTGATCAAAGCCTTAAATACCTGTTAGCTTATCTTCTTCTTCATATCAACACATTCCTTAAAGGTTACAGAACAGAGGAGATAAAAGAAAGTGTGCAAGGAGTACTGAGCTGGTCCGAAGTGTACTAATGTTCTTGGTTTTTTTTTTTTTTTTGGTTTTTTTTTAATTTGCAAGAATTTGGAAAACCTTATTAAAGCTTACTACACACTAGAAGACTTTGAAAAGACTTTTGAAAGACTGAAGTCTGACGCCTCTCACATCCAAAGACAATGTGAGGTTAAGTCACAAGACTGAGGATTTTTCAGGGTCACTCTTTACAACTGGAAAACTAGATTCCTTTTAAGATTATTATGGCAAACTCCCTTTAAGAAATATGACATTAACAAATCCTTACATGTCCCAAAAACACATAACTGTTGAAGCAAAAGATAAAAGACATTATATGTCGACAACACACTTGTTTATTTGGCATCAGTATAATCCATAGAGATAAAATGTATTTGCTTACAAGCTTTACAGTTTGGATTTTGTTGCCTCCGTCGCTCAGCTGCACCATTTTAGTTTGAGAAGACTGTGGGAATAAGGGGCAAACCCTTTCAAAAATTAAGATTTCTCACCACATTAAGTCGCCATCAGGAGAGAGTTAGTGCCTCGAGCGAGGGAGTTCAAGTATCTCGGAGTCTTGCTCACGAGTGAGGGTAGAATGGAGCGTGAGATGGATCGGCAGGTTGATGCAGCTTCTGCAGTCATGCAGAGGGAGCTGAGCCAGAAGGCGAAGCTTTTGATTTACTGGTCCATCTACGTCCCAACCCTCAGCTATGGTCATGAAATCTGGGTAGTGACCGAATGAATGAGATCGCGGATACAAGCGGCCAAAATGAGATTCCTTAGTGGGGTGGCTGGGCTCAGCCTTAGAGACAGGGTAAGGAGCTCGGACATCCAGAGGGAGCTCAGAGTAGAGCCGCTGCTCCTTCACGTTGAAAGGGGTCAGTTGAGGTGGTTCGAGCATCTGATCAGGATGCCTCCTGAGCACCTCCTGTTAGAGGTGTTCCAGGCACGTCCCACTGGTAGGAGGCCCCGGGGCAGACCCAGAACACACTGGAGGGATTACATATCTCGTCTGGCCTGAGAATGCCTTGGGGTCCCCCAGGAGGAGCTGGAAAGCATTGCTAGGGAGAGGGATGTCTCAAACCCCTCTGTGTGGAGTTTGCATGGTGTCCCCGTGTCACCATGGGTTTTCTCCAGGTACTCCAGCTTCCTCCCACAGTCCAAAGACATGCAGGTTAACTTGTGACTCTAAATTGCCCGTAGGTGTGAATGTGAGTGTGAATGGTTGTCTGTCTCTATGTGTAAGCCCTGTGATAGTCTGGTGACCTGTCCAGGGTGTACCCTGCCTCTTGCCCAGTGTCAGCTGGGATAGGCTCCAGCACCCTGTGACCCCCAACAAGATAAGCAGTAATGGAAAATGAATAACTGAATAAATGACTGCAAGAAGTGTCAATCAGATGCATGCTGAGAAGGTGTAAGGCCAGCTTAAAGGGGATGAATGAATATCTTAACAAATACTAGGAAGCTAAGAGAACTCTTGTCATATCAAGACTGTCTCTCCTTCAGGTTCGAGCTGCTCCATGTACTGAACTTTGACTCCGTCAGGAGGAGAATGAGCGTCATCGTCAAGTCAAGCTCAGGTAGGATGTTATACATTTTATAAATCTATGATGGGACACTAGATTGTTTTGCATTTTGTTTTAAATGTCGTTTGTGTGTGTTTTTTGGGGATCTCAGGAGAATACCTGCTGTTCTGTAAGGGGGCAGACTCGTCCATTTTTCCTCGGGTCGTGTCTGGGAAGGTGGAGCAGGTGAAGGCCAGGGTGGAGCAGAACGCTGTCGTAAGTGCACAGTTTGACCATATAGATATATAATGTGTTTGATGATACATACATATGGTAACGACAGATCAATGACTTGTGTGTAACATGAAAAGGGTTGTTCAGTAGCCCTGAACACTGACTCTGGATAGGGTCATTCATGTTTTTGCATTGGCCACCGTAGTTCTCCGACATGCTTGGCACACAGGAGGAACCCGTATTTCACGGACTTAAGCAAACTGGCATTGCATTACATAACATCTACTGCAGCTACATTTGAAATCCCAGCTTCAACCTCTCTCCATCTCTCTCATCTTCTCCGTGACGCAGGAGGGGCTGCGGACTCTGTGTGTCGCTTACCGAAGGCTGTCAGAGTCCGAATACCAGGAGGCACGTCATCACCTGAACGAAGCCAAGTTGGCCCTGCAGGACAGGGAGCAGAGGCTGGCGCAGGCCTATGACATCATCGAGAGGGACTTTGTGCTTCTGGGTGCTACGGCAGTGGAGGACAGGTTTGTCACCGTGCGGAGAGAGACAGAGAGCAAAGGGAGGGGGGAAAGATTTAAAAACAGTGCAGCAGCGGGGGAACAAAGGGGAAGATTAATGAGTCATGAAGCTCTTCAAAGTATTGTAATGACTCATGAGAAGAGAAAAGATTCAGTCTGAGCTCTGAGAGGTGACTCACTGCTATCACTGCTCTGCCTTTGTTTCCTTTTTTCCTTTTTATCTTCTGCTCTGTTAAAATATGAGACGTGTTTGTCTTCCTACAAGCTAGTCTTCAGTATTGACCTGCAAAGGTAGTTTTCCCCAGCTGATCGATTCAGCTGACAGTTTGACTTCCTGGTAGATAAACCGGCGATGGGCAGGGACAGGGGGTGGTTGTGCATTGATAACTTATCACCAGTTGGTAATTGATGGATTGAAGTTTTGATGAATGCTTTAACCTACCCTTCTGGGGGCTGACACACTTATTGACTTATTGACGCGCAGGCTCCAGGAAAAGGCTGCAGACACCATCGAGTCACTGCACAAGGCTGGGATGAAAGTTTGGGTCCTGACGGGGGACAAGATGGAGACGGCGGCGGCTACCTGCTACGCCAGCAAGCTGTTCCGACGCAGCACGCAGATCCTGGAGCTGACCAAGAAACGCACGGAGGAGCAGAGTCTGCACGATGTTCTGTTCGAACTGAACAGGACGGTTCTCAGACAACGCTCGATATCTGGGTATGAGATCATGCTTGTGTGAACCTGCAATGCTGATTATTTTTTTCCATTTAATCATTTGGTATATACGACATTGGAAAATTGTGGGGGGGGGGGAAGAGTCTGGAGTGATGTCCTCAAATATATCGTTCTGTCCAACCAGCAGCCCAAAACCCAAAGACTTGTAATTCATTAAAATGTAAGAAAAGAAAAAGCAGGAAATGATCACATTTTTGGTATTTGTCCTTGAAAAATGTCTGATGTTGTGTTCACACAAAACATGATACGAATTTTCACATTGCCTTACTTGAGTGAGTTTGAGTGCTAGATTATTTTGTGTTGACTCGCTTCATACACCCATGAAATCGCTGAATCAATGAATGGCTGTGTGAAAAGCTCCTTGTTGATCCACCTGTGATATTTTGTTCCAGGTTGTCAGTTGATTGCCTCGACTTTGGTCTGATCATCGACGGGGCCACTCTGTCTGCAATACTAAAGCCCAACCAGGAGGGAGTCAGTTCTGGCAACTACAGAGAGATCTTCCTGGAGATCTGTCGCAACTGTAGCGCCGTGCTCTGCTGTCGCATGGCACCACTGCAGAAAGCTCAGGTAACAGAGAGCCGGACGTCTCTTTAGAAATACACTCCAGGCACATTGCTAAATGACAAATAGTGCAGGTGACTGAAGTGGGTCTTTGTTTCTGCAGATTGTGAAGCTAATCAAAGCCTCCAAGGAGCACCCCATTACCCTCGCCATCGGCGACGGGGCCAACGATGTCAGCATGATCCTGGAAGCGCACGTGGGCATAGGTGAGCTCATTTAACTGCTATGATAGGTGGCTAATTGGCTAAAACCTGTACTGATATTGATGCTGCTGTATTTTAAACCCTGGGAATGAGAACTGTTACGTATTCCTACAAATTCAGCCAATAAAAGATGTATGCATTAGATTTATTTATGCATATCTGCCAACACATACAGCAGTACAGTGTTTTTTATGAGGCAGTATTGGCTCACCTATCCACTGTTTATACTGTATATTAGTTTGGCTTTAGTCTCTATATTTAGAAATCCACCTCCTCAGGTTACACTCATGGTTGTGTTGCATTTCTGATCAGCTTTTATGCCACCAACCTCTGTTTTTCCCTGAAGGCATCATGGGTAAAGAGGGCCGACAGGCAGCCAGGAACAGTGACTACGCCATCCCGAAGTTCAAACACCTGAAGAAGATGCTTCTGGTTCATGGTCACTACTACTACATCCGAATCGCTGAACTTGTTCAGTACTTCTTCTACAAGGTACAAGACGAATGCCTTGTGTGCTGCACTGGCTCACACATTTTAATCACTTTATCGTAATTCCCAGTGAAACACTGAGTTACAAAGAACCAGATTTTTGCAGCGACTCTGACAGATTACCGGATTCATGAATCCCTGGTGCAACATTCTCTCCTGGATTCATGGCTACGATGATCAGTGTGGGCGGCTTCCACAGCAAGCGGTGTCCTGCCAACTGATTCATTTTTTCCTTTTGGCAGGCCAGCGCTGTGCGGCCCACTCAGTGAGCTTATAGCACACAATCTCTGCATAAACAGAAATGTGTAGATAGTAGCATTTTTAGATTCTTCAAATCTCTTCACGTGTACTTGTCACAAGCTTATCACTTTTTCTGTGTTGTGTTTTTTTTTCTCTTCTTAAATCTTTTCCAGAATGTATGCTTCATCTTCCCTCAGTTCCTGTACCAGTTCTTCTGTGGGTTCTCCCAGCAGGTACGTATATTTATACTCACACGGGGCTACCAGCTGCAAGTATTATACAATAAACTAGCTTGATATAGTAATTAATGCTGTTACCAATGGATCAGATGACTTTGGGTGGTGTAAAGGTGAAGCCACAGAGAATTATCACCCTACTCTGCTGTTCCCCTCAGCTTTACTGAACATTTTTACCTGATAAACTGGCTTCACTGTAACTTCCAAGCACCAAATGGTTGATAGGCACAGTCAGCAAATAATTCCTCCATTCTTTCCTATGAAAATTGTTCACAGACACATGAAACCTAAAAAGCAGTATGGAATTACCTGGGTGATCGGTGGACCCATAGAGCAGGCGCATGAGAGACTTTCTGCTGCTGAGCACGGCCAAATGTGGCCAACTTCTGCCAGCTGAGCAGCTGACTTCCGGTTTAGCGCTCTGCTAACTTGAATGGTGATAAAATAGTTTAAACTTGTGGCTCTTGGATTAAATCTTGATAGTGGAACAAGTCACTTTGCGTAGGGCTGTGACAAAAATGTATCCATTGATATATAGATGTCTCCTTCCCAATGTAAGTCCATAGGTGTTTTTTCTTTCTTTTTTCTTTTTGGTCCCAATTGGATCATGTGAAAAAGACCTGCAACTGAAACAGAATCAACTTTTAGAGAAATGCCACGCAATGTCACGCTGCGGTCATCAATCATGTAACTGCCGATCAGACTAGAAAAACGCCCATAGTCCATGATAACAAGTAATGCAGTCATTTCCAGATGTCTGATGCTGTCTGTATTGTGTTTGTCCCTCTGCAGCCTCTGTACGACACCGCCTATTTGACGTTGTACAACATCAGCTTCACCTCACTCCCCATCCTCCTCTACAGCCTGGTTGAGCAGCACGTCACCATGGAGACGCTCAAAAGGGAGCCCTCCCTGTACAGGTGAGGTCAAAGAAAACATTGAAGCAGGTCCTCTGAAATTTGTTTTGTTTGTATATTTTTTGTGACTTTTATATGGACGCTCTGAGAGGCAAATGAGGAAAAAAATAATAATTCTGGGCATTTATTTTCTAAGTCTGATCAATATTATAGCACCTTCCTATGATTATGGCTTAAGAGCTGGTCAAAAAATGTTTTTCAGATAATCACAGATAATCTTTCAGAGTTCCTAATTTTTTCCCATATATGAAATGGGTGGAAAAAAATACAAGGTGAAAAAAGAATTGCAAACATTATTTTTCTAGCATTTTTCACCTGTTCTTACAAAAAAACATTTTGGCAGTGATTTTTTAAATGTATTTATTTACATTTATTTATTCATTGTCAAAATTCATTTGGCTTGAAATGTAATTTAACACAGCCTGTCAGTCAAAGTGACCACGCCCTTAATTATGCTGAATTTTAAGCCTTATTAGCATTTTAAGAGAATCGTTGTAAAAAAACAAAAAAAAAAAAATCACCCCCCGTTTGTTTGTGTGTTTGCACCAGGCTGTAAACATGTTTATTTGAGCTGTAAAGTTGGGCAATTTAACATGGTAGTCTTTGGGGATTTGCTCTGTTTTGCAACCAGCCCCTAGTGGCCAGTCAGTGAACTGTAGTTTTTGGCACTTCTGCGCTGGCTTCACTCGTCAACCCTCTTGTGGCCAAAATTAGTACTACAACAACAAAAAAATTAAAAACCTGTTTTCAAGGAGAGAAACAAACAAAAAAAGGAAAACGATTCACCTGTTGTTAAGTCATAAACACAGGAGAGAAAATAATTCAGATCAGACGTAGGAAATTAATGTCCAGTTTTTTTCACTGTTATGATACAGTGTTTGTTGTGTTTGCTCATCCACCTTTTTTTCTGTTCGTCTTTCGTAGGGACATAGCGAAGAACTCCCTCCTCCGCTGGCCGGTCTTTCTGTACTGGACGTGCCTGGGTGTGTTTGACGCTGTTATCTTCTTCTTTGGTGCCTACTTCCTGTTTGACAACACCACCTTCACCAGCAATGGCCAGGTGAGCCTCTGCCTATGCGTCTCTGTGAGGCAGTGAGATCTGTCATTTGATGGAAGGAGCAGAAATAGAGCAGCTTGTGGGGCATTCGAGGTGTCCTTTAGGGAAATTAAAAGAGAATAATGGACACAAAGTTAGCGCTTTCTTTTACGAACACTCATCCATCTCCATTGGATTCTCATGAACAAGGAGTTAAGTGTTACAGGATGACTTTGTGGCCATGTTTTTGTTATTATAGCTCTGTAACAGTAAGGTTTCTGTCCCGGCCCGTCTGTAGGTCAACAACATTGGATCTCCATTCATATCGACAACGCAATAGCATCTTTCTCTGTATTGTTAATTTGTATCATGTCAACTGTTTTCGATTGCCTTTGGTCCTGTTTTTTAAGTTGAAACATCCTGAAATTCATTTTACCCTTTGTCCTGATTCCTTTCTCTTCTCTTCCCCCCTCCTTCTCTCTGCTTCCTCTCTCTTTATTTTGCTCCTCTTCTCCTTCCTCTTCTTCTTCGTCTTCTTCCTCAGCTTATGACCACCAACACACAGATGGTAAGCCTGTCTCCCTCCCTGTCAGCTCTCTCTGTCTTTCACGCTTTTTTAGTTCCTGTCGTACCGTTTAAGCTTTCAGTTTGACCGTTTCATCCAGTTTCATCCCTTCTCACTTCACATCATCCATGCACTTTCATTTGAATGTGTAGTTTTCTAGTGCTCCATTATTCCCCCTAATCTCTGTAAAGCCCTGAATCCCACACAGTACCTGATCTTAACAACTCCACTGACATAGTAGAAACCGTAGACGCTCCCCCACATTATCCCCGTGTTTCGTTGTGGTAGCATATAGAGTAATGCTGGTATGTACTATAGATTAAGATCCAACATCTGTTTGTTGTTCTGTCTAATGTGTTTGTGCATCTGTGTTTGTGTGTGTGAGTATTTGTGGTGGCAGTTCTCAGGGTTGGTTGGTTTTTTAATTTCACTGCTCCAGCATCCAGGGGTCGGCTGGACTGTTTTCATCCGGTGCTCTTTGTGTACTGGTGACAAACAAACAAACAAAAATGAATAAAGCAGGTTTTAAATGTAAATTCTTGCTGTTTTTCCTGATCCGTAAAGGAAGGGATTAATGAAAGGAGGAATTTCACGAAAGATAGGCGCACTGGTACCAACAATCAGCTGTGGTTATTACGTAAATTCCCTGGTTTCTTTTTCTCTCTCTGTCTCCCTTCACCCTCCTCCCACTTTCATTCTCTCTCATTCCATCTGTTCGCTCCTGATGTCTGCTTAAACCTCTCTAGGATTTCAGCAGGTAGAAAGATTTTTAAAAAGAAGTGAAGTGAAAATACTCAGTTTATTGGCCCTGAAGCTTAAAGGAATGCTTCACACCCCAGATGACTATTTGTATATCACTTACTCACCCTGTGTGATGATGAATTTGTGAAGAAAATTTAGATTTTTGTCACACGCCTCCAAGGTGAACAAAGAATCCAAAAAAAAGGAGAAAATTCTTGATGAATTACAGTACAAGGGTCCACTTTTAACAACAGCAAAACTATATCAAAACTTCCATTTACAAACTCTAAAACATCTCGTGCAATATTCAGTTGAATTCAGTGGGAAATTCTTGTGCCAGAGAATGCTTTAACTTCCAGTAACACTAAATACAATAACCACAATTTCAATGATTCACAACCAGTACCCAGAGCTGGGACCAAGTCACACATGTGCAAGTCTCAACTAAGTCTCAAGTCTTAACCTTCAAGTCTCAAGTAAGTCCCAAGTCATTTTTTCTTGGGCAAGTCAAGTCAAGTCAAGTCAAGTCACAGGTTATGTCAAGTCAAGTCCAAGTCAAGTCACCTTATTATTGTAATTTTACCTGCAGAATCTGATCTTAATAAAGTGAAAAGACAAGATATAAGTAACTGTCAGTAAACACTGACTTCATCGCTGCAATGTTTACTTTGCAGGGACGACCCCCTTGCGTGTGCGCACGCACACACACACACACACACTCACACACACTAACCAAGGCAGCGGCCAAAATCACCCATTTAGCTCATTTAACTCTGTGTTGCTCCTTCATAAAACGTACAGCCGTTCTTGGGATGAACTGGTCGGAATGTTCGCTCACGTTTTCTGGGGTTAATATTAGCAAATGAATTAAAAAACAAGTTCCACCAAACCGACCCACCCCCGTATCGTATCAAGCTAACATTAGCTAACTACCGACTAACCAGATAATATTAGCTAATTGACAAGCACTTACTGGGCAGAATGGCTCTTCAAATGATGAACAAAGTTTGAAGTTGTCTCCTGGCTGTCCGAGATGTTTATGCCGCATGTCTTGCACTGTGCTGATTGTCTTTTGCTGTAATAATGGTCATTCCGAAAGCCGAAGACGATGACTCTGGGTACCCCTCCCGCTGACATGTTGATGCCTATCTGATATAAGAGGGCCTGTTTCTCCAATAAATGCGTAAAGTACGTAGAGAGGGCATGACTGATTGACAGGGTAGTGATCCAATCATGACAACGCCATTTTCAGCCTGCGCTCCTACCGGGTAATCGACATTATTTTTTAAATTAATTTATTCATTTTATATTCTAACCGAAAACATGATGTGAATAACACTCAAGTCATTCAAGTCATCGTGTCTCAAGTCAAGTCCGGAGTCTTTTAACTTCCAAGTCCAAGTCAAGTCTCAAGTCTTTTATTTTTTGTCAAGTTAAGTCACAAGTCATCAAAACAGCAACTCGAGTTGACTCGAGTCCAAGTCACAATGACTCGAGTCCCCATCTCTACCAGTACCAACCAGACAACTATAAAAGTTGATTTCAAAAATGACCAAACAAAATTATCAGACAAGACATTAACAAGACATCAATCTATTACTTCTTGGTACACATATGTACAGAAATATCAAGAAAAATGGAAATTACCGTAAAATAAGAAAAGAAACAAAAGAAGAAATACTAATAAAAATAATATCCATAATAATAATAATTCAATGCAGTAAAACTTTATTTATCCCAAAGGAAATTCTTGTGCCAGAAAATGCTTCAAATTACAGTTACACTAAGTACAGTAACCACAATTTAACGTTCACAACCAGCACCAACCAGACAACAAGTGGGTTCCCCGGGTCAGGGTCACTCACTGGGCCCAGTTACAGAACAATAGAGTATTAAATATCTGGCAAAATATACAAGATGGAAGTGTTTTCACTTGTGTTATTGTGTGAGTTAATGTGAATACAAACTAACCATTTAAAATCACAAAGTTGTTCAATAACGCAAGCTAACTAACTGACCAAGGCAGCGGTAGATCAGCAACTCCTGTTTTCAGCGAGGTATAAGTGCAGTTTTTGTCAATGGAGTCTGGCTTAGAAGAGAGCATTGGTAAGTTTCACTTTAAGTTCAGTTTCAAATGAGTAAAGTTTTAGGCAAAATTCATGTGTTTATGAAGTACTTAGTATATGAATGGATAAATGAGACTTGGCATATATTGTATGAGTTCTGTGAGAATTTGTAAATAGAAAGTTTGATATAGTTTTGCTGTTGTGAAACGCGGACCCCTGTGACTTTTATCCATCAAGAATTTTCTCAGTTTTTGGATTCTCCGTTCCCCAGAGGCAGGTGAGAGGCAAATTTAACTAACACTGGGTGAGTAATTGGTATACAAATGGTCATTTGAAGGTGAAGTATTCCTTTAAAAGAAACAAACAGCACCCCTCTCACTACAGTAGATATGATAGACTCTCTATGTGCACTGTAAAGCCACAGGATGTTCACTAATCCATGGATGCAGGGTGATCGTGCTGTGTGATTGATTTGGCCACTAACCCTCTTCTTCCTCTCTTCCCTTGCAGATGTTTGGGAACTGGACATTTGGGACCCTCGTCTTTACTGTGCTGGTGTTCACCGTTACTCTCAAGGTGTGTGAGCATATGTCTCCAGAAAAAAACCCCACTCATGTCTATTATGTTGCATAATTCCTGCATGTAAATGAGCTCATTACTGTACAGTTACACATGTGCCTCATCGAATGCCTGCGCGAGCTTGCCGCACTCGTTAACGAGCATGTTACATAAATGATCGACTACACTGGGCGCTCAGTTTGCACAACAGTAAACCCTAAAGGCACGGGCATTGACTTCATCGACTGGTTGTGTTTACTATGTATATATTCTGTTTGTTTCAGCTTGCCTTGGACACACACCACTGGACCTGGATCAATCACTTTGTCATCTGGGGGTCACTACTTTTCTACGTTATTTTCTCTCTTCTCTGGGGAGGCATCATTTGGTATAATACGCTTATTGGTTTTTAAGCATGTGTAATCTTTATGTAGATTTAACGAGGGCACTTCTGATAGCCTGTTCTGTCTTCCCTGTTGCTGCTCAGGCCCTTCCTGAACTACCAGAGGATGTACTACGTGTTCATGCAAATGCTGTCTAGCGGTCCGGCCTGGCTCAGCATCATCCTGCTCATTACGGTCAGCTTGCTGCCAGATGTCATCAAGAAGGTCCTCTGCAGGGCCCTGTGTCCCACAGCCACCGAACGTGCACAGGTAACATCTTGGCAGCAGCTCCACAGTGAAACTGAAGCTTTACTTTTCGTGTTCACAGGTCAGGTGTTAGATTTGTTTTTCCTGCAGTGCATTCTGCTTTGCTAAAATCATTAACCGATTAATGCTTTCCCATTTTTATGATAATTAAAATTGTGCCTGATACAGTGAGTAGCCTCCTCTCCTATGTGTGCTAACATAGTCCAGTCAATCTGTGGTTGGATCCAGAGAAAATTGCAATAGTAATCATTCAAGGTTTTTTTGTGTTCTCTTGGGACATCCAAATAACATATTAAAAATACACCATTATATATTTAGTGCATCAGGGTTAATTCAGGGCTTGATCTCTGCTTCTGTACGTGATATTTTCATATTATTTATGTCTAACATTAGTATTTTAGGATGTTCTTTCACATATAACCATCCGATATTACCTGTTCTGATGTATATGTGCAATTATGTGGAACCTGTACCCCAAAATTACCTTTTTTGAATCCAAACAAAGTCAGTAAAATTAGGCTATAAAGCATATCATCATTCAGTTTAATTTTTTTTTTACTATGACGCATATCAGCACTCAGACTGAGACCTTAAATGAGACCAAGCTTGAAACACGCCTTGGTTTTTCCATTCTTTGGTTTAACTGTTGGTGCCATTAAAGGACGATTATATGTGAGTAATGCCAGGTTCACACTACACGATATCAGCCCGATTATAGTCCGACGCAGTGTCATACAGTGTCGGCATGGATCGCGAACGACAGTGAGTGTCATACGCGATAATCCATCGTTTCATCTCGTGTAGTGTGCCATAGTAGACGACAACCAATGCCACGTCTGGAACGCCTCACAACGTCCCGACAGAAAGTCCAGCATGTTTGATTTTCCTCAGCCGAGATTTTGACCAATAGGAACACAGAGCGATCTGCTGTCGTGGACAACTGTATGTCAGCACCCAGGGTTTTAGATAATTCCTCTAAGGATGCTTCCACACAGAATACAAGGAAAAATGACGGTGTGAAACAACAGAGGCACTTTATCAACCCGCTGAGTACTGCCATTAGCATCAAGCTAGCAAACAATGTTACTTCTTCATGATGGAGAATATAAAGAAATAAAATTAAAAAATAGTGGTCTTTACTCACCACAACTGCAGAGGCTACCAGCTCCATTTGAAACAGACTACATCATAAACGGGCCGTTATTTATTAATCCCTCTGTATTTTTCTATTTTCAATTTTTATCCGCTCCGGTTGCCTTGATAAAGTTAATGCATCGCACCGTCATTTAACACTCAATGCTTCCTGTATCTGTTTCAAATTAAAAGCCCCCTATAATTTCGGTTGAGAGAATTCCTCCATTTTCTCAACAGGCTTTTATTGTGGAACATTTGCAGGAACTTGTTGTGAAGGATTCAGTGACTTGCATGTTTGCGTACAGTATTTCAAATGAAGCTCCTGCCATCTGGTGGCGCTTTCTGCGTTACTACAACAACATTTCAGCTGGCACATGAACAGACACAGTGAATGAAATAGTAAAGTAATAAAAACAGGACAAGAATAACCCGATGACATCACATATGTTGTGAAAGACGACCGGGGACGATTGTTGAGGACCAGCGTATCTGTCGGCCAAGTCACGGATGATTTTATGACTCCACAATCATCTAATCTGACATAGTGACTGTCGGAGCAGACAAAAATGACGTGTAGTGTGAACCAGGCATAAATCCATGAAGGTATATTTTTAATATATGAAGCAGGAACCAATAAAAACTATGAATCATTGCTACTGCAATTTCTCCTCGGTCGAGCCCATTTTTGAGTTAGACTGACTGGACTCATACTTAATGTTTGGACTGTAAGAAGCCATATAAGTAAGCTGCAAATCTATTCCACTCAATTAATCATCCAGGAAGACCATTTGGATCCCTAATAGCTTTGAGCAACAGCGTGATTTAGAGTGACTTTCTGTTCCCTGTGGCTTAGCCTCACCTCCCTCTGAAGCAACCTTCACCATGAATGGGGAAAAATGAATGAAAGGTCTGACAGATTTCTCCCTGCTGTGCTCTTTCTTCTCTCCTCTCCCTTCTTGCTGCACCCTGATGGACATACCATAATTCTCACTGCCCTTCATTCTTTCCTTTCTCCCTTTCCTTTCATTCACCTGCCTGATCCTCCCTTTTCTGTCCTTTTTCCTCCCTCTTCATCACCATATCCCCTCTCCTCTCCTGTTTCCTGGGTGACTCTGCACTCTACGCTCACTCGCTCTTTCGGGGTAACTGCAGTCCACTCGCCCGTGCCTTACTGTGGAGCCGTCCACCATCTTCATGCTTTCTCAGTCCTCCAGCAGAATGAGTTTCTGATTGGCCCAGAGAGACGAGAGAGGAGCAGGAAGAGGAGGTGACTCTCTCTCTCTTTTAAGCCCTCGTCTCTGTATGCATGGTGGCATGTCCCAGTGTAGACCACTTATCTCTGTCTCAACACCTTGCTCTATGTGAAACTAATCGCAAGGGTGCTACTGCTGACAATAGAAGTGTGTATTTCCTGCCATTTTTCCTTTTCCCTTATATATTTAATGTGTTTAATGTTCCCTTTTATATTTATTATTTAAAATATTTAAATTCCATGCCATGTTTTTTTTATGTCTTTCATGCTGTCACCTTGTTATGTATTTTTGAAATGATTTTGGTAGGTGTGGGATGAATTTTTCTACTGAAGGATTTGCAGACTTTGGTCAACATAAAACACCAGTTTGACATTTTTCGTGTATTGTAGAGCTGAAAATAATAGTCAATCAATTGATTTTAAAATGAAAAAAAAAATTACTATGTTTTGATAATATATATATATATATATATATATATTCCCATTTATCAGACATTAACATAAGCTATCACCTCTTGGTACAAATACGTACAGAATAATGAAGAAAACTGGAAATTATCAAGACAAAAAAAAACAACTAATAATTTATAAAAACATTTTATTTTATTATTATATTTTTAATTATTTTATTTATTATTTAATTTATCTATACATTTTATTAAAACAAATATTTTATGATGTATGAGTTCATCGTTCCAGGCCAGGTAGACTTTGCACTTGGTTTATTAATAGGTCTCACATTTTATAAAAATCTCTTAATGGAGCCGTTAAGGGTGCATCTGATGTTTTTCCAGCTCGATGGTCTGTCACATCTTTGATTCATCATCTGTGTGATGGACGTGTTACTTCCTTCTATTTCAGTAGAACTGAGCATCTATCTAATAAAGAGGAAAAGGAAATGACCTTCTGCAGGTGAAATGAGTAATAGTTTAAGTATTTTTAAAGCAAAAATCCAAAAGCTCCAGTTTCTCCAATCTGAGGCTTTGCAGTTCTTTTCTGTCTCAAATCATTATGTCATTGTAAATTGAATATTATGGAGTTTTGGACAAAAGCAAGATGTTTGAAGACATCACTTTGGGCTCTTGGAAATTTCCTCTCATTTTCAACATTTTGTACTCCAAACCATTAAGGCCCTGATCACACAGAAAGCGGCTTGCCTTTTTAAAAAAAATGCCACTAGTGAAAAAGAAGTCTTGGCAACCACAGACTCACCTCCTTATTGTAGCCTTCTTGTGTAAACAAGCTACCCTTTATTTATTTAGTTACTTGACACTAATTAGTATCTAGTTCCTAAAATGTTGAGGCAGAGGGTTCTTGCTGTAGCTCTGGTTGAGGGTGAGAGGCTGTCAGTAGATAGTTTGTTGGACACAGGGAAACAGAGATCTGTGTGGGTACATGAGTCCCTAAAAAATAGGGTGGATCATGGGGAGTACCACCAGTTGGTCCAGGAGCTTCACCTCCATGATGCTGTTTCCAGGCATATTTTAGGATGACTCAGGGGCAGTTTCTATCGTCGGGCCGTTTAGCTCTGGGTATCCAGCAACCGCTACCACCAGTTTCTCCTCCATTGTTTACCAACTGTAAACTTGTTGTGACCACCACAGAAGGATGATGTAAAAATAGATGATGTGGGGCGTTTTCCACTTTGAGTTGGAAACGCAAGCAAAATGCTTCATTCTCATTAAAAACTAAAACGCTTTCTGTGTGATCAGAGCCTAACTGAGACAATAATCTATCACAAATTCATTGAAGACAGCTATTGGATAGCCTGAATTTGATTTACACTGAAGGTTTTCAGTCCCATAAGTGCGGGTTGTGATGTGAGTGTCATCACTGCACTGAAAACCTTCCCTGTCACATTGTTAGTGTGAAGAGACAGACGAAGCTCCGATGCAAAGTTTGCCTCAGTTTATTGGTTTAAGCTAACCAACAAAAACTATTCTTTGAAGTCCATATCCGTCGCAAGATACCAAAGACAGCAATCCTGTTCTGTAGCTGCATGGATCAGTAAGAATGCAGAATTTTTCAGTTTGGTGGCTCTCACGTTTTCCATACAAAATCAAATGAGCTGGGAGATGAAACCTGTTTAAAAAGGGTCACTTGAAACCAGTTTTAAGCAGCGTTGAGGTGCAATGTGTGAACCACAGTCAACTTAATCTGATACACTGAGTCACCAGTTTATTAGGGAGCTAAAACTATCCTAAAACAATCCTGAAAAAATCCTAGTATTTATTGTAGGACTGACACAAGGTCTGAACAGGTTTAGTCATCACCTCCTCTCCTTTAACATCATCCACAGAAGGTAAGGACAGCGGGGGCCCTGGAGGGCCGTGTGGCTCCTGCTGGTGGAGGGGGAAGCAATGAGAGGAACCCGCTCCACCCTGATAGGACCCGTGAGGGAGACAGTGGAGAAAAAGCTGCTAGGACCTATGACTCCATGATGTCACACAGCCACAGCACCCCCCTCAGCAAACCCTAGAGCACACCCCCGTAGGTGGGCTAGGGTCACCATGGTAACAGCACGCAGAGGGCGTGGGGAGTCGGGGTCTTAATGCTGCTGCCATGATGCTTCCTGCTGCTCTGCACTGCATGGGGCATGCTGTCGTGCTATGGCTCAGGCTGACAGGGGGACGGGCCTGTATAACTCAGAAACATCCTTTCATCAACAGATTTTCAGGAATCACAACCTCCAATTAACTCTGCAGTGCTGGGTGCGAAGCGCGTCGTGCTTCTCACTGCATGTGGGCCGGGAATTAGCTTGATCTGGGTAGCAGCCAAATGAGAAATGTTATCCTCTTTTTATTAGACCCAGGCTACTTAAAGTCTGTTGCCACTTGGCATGTGGGCTCCAACAAGTAGAACAAGTAGCAAGCTGACTATGAGTCATCTGTGGTTCTGGACTGTAGCTTAAGGGAGATGTGAAAGTAAAGCTAGAGGAGCTGAGACTGAAGGTTCTGGGTCAGAGAAGGTTTAGATGTAAAATTTGAGATGACTGTCAGGTTTTAGAGGTTCACACAGATTTAGTTAGTAACTGAGGTCATGTTTTATTAAGCAAGGTCACCAGTAGGTTACCAATCCAACGCTGATGTTACAGACAAACTGATCAAAAAAAATATAGAGGTTACCCAGGCTGAGTCTCTGTTGTACTGATGACATCTGGTGTTCGAAGCTGGAATAGCAAGTTTAATTTAATTCTGCATTTCATGGGCATGCCTAATGTAACATGAATGTTAATCATAATGGGAATTTTTAGCAGGTTACTTATATATTAATCAGTAAATTCTGTCAAGTTGGCACACTTAATGGATTGTTTGTCCAGTTTGTGCGGTAGATTTGATCCATAACAGGGTGTCGTTAATTGTTTTTTTGCACTAAACACCTTATGTTTTTTCCTTAAAGGGAAACTTCAGTATTTTTAACCTGTCCCCTATTTTCCTATGTTTTTGTGTCTTACTGGCTAATTTTTTTAAATTGGTCCGCTATTGAGCAACAGCGCTGCAGCAGGAAGCTGCGAACAGGCTGCATTGTGATTTTATTTTAAAGGATTTCTATGCATAAGACCAAGAAGAGGAGAAAACTAAAATACTTAATTGAGCATTTTTTCCCTCCTCAGATTGTTTTATTGGAAAGATTTAGATGCCTGAAGGTGCAAAAAATGGAGAGAAGTTAAAAAAAAAATAAAAAATTAGCCTTATACTGTATAACCAGAGGCGTAGGTTTCATTTCAACACTGAGCAGAACACATATGAAACAGGGGGTTTGGAAAACAGGAAAATCCAACAAAAATTTTGAGCATCCCACATATTCCAGTGCTTATTATGTACCAATTTGTGCTCCTGCTGGCGACGAATGTTGTTAGACATTTATATTTGGTTGAATGTACTGAACATTATAAGGAAACCCTAAGGAGAAGTTGTAAGGGTGTTTTGTGCAACCAGTATCTGAATTTCTAAGAAATGTATTAAACCTTGTAGAGTTGTCACGATACTGGAATTTCTAACTTTTATACAGCACCTTAAAGAATATCAATATTGGATACATTGGGAAAATTTGACATTGAGAGCATGACATTTTAAAATGTAATTAAAAGATAAATATAACGAGACTCTAACGTGACGACGACGACTTTACTTTTCTTGGCTAGTAGCAGAGAACAGCAGAATGATTGTAGTAAAGAGAGCAAGAAAGCACAGCTGGTGCTGGTGTCATTACTGCGAAAACTGTTTCAGCTATTCTGAACTGATATGCTTTGATGTATCAATATTTTTGAGATTGCTTAAAGCTTCTGACTAAAACCCTGCTGTCTGATCTTGTGCATCTCACATCTCTCTCACCTCTTCTGTGATTTAATCTGCATGGTTCATTTCTTTTTCTTTAAACCTCCTGCGTTTTGGATTTTCTCGTGACGATGCGTCCTCCATCTCTCCACAGGTTCACAAGAAGCTGTCGCGGGGTGGCGTGGCCGAGTCGACTCCACTGTCTTCTCGTCGGTCCTACAAAGGCACGAGCGCAGGCTCCTCTCACCTCCACCTCGGCGCTGCGGAGACGCTGTCGCTCCGCAGGTCTGACCCCCTCCCCCAGAAACTGCTGGTCCACTTGGCAGAAGGCGGAGGGGCAGACTTGTGCTCTCTCAGCCCCTACGTGCTCCGTCTCTCAGGGGCAGGATTTGCCTACTGCGCTCCGGGGCCGGAGACCTCCGTGTAAACGCAAGGCTCTGAAACTATGAGTGTGTGTGTGTGGATCTCTTGGGCTGAAACATAAAGTGCATCTCGAGATGTGCGACACAAGATCTGCATCTCAAGGAGGATTTATACAGCAAAATACAAACACATTCACACACATCAACCTCCATGCTGAGTTCACCATGTGCATTCTGTGGGCTACACCTGAGTGAACAACCCTTTAGATATTACAGCCCCGACGCCTCATCTTCATATTTTAACATCTTTCTGTTTCAGTGTAGTCCTCCGTCTCAGTCTCATCGAAGTTCCTACTTGACTTGACAAAGTCCAAGAACAAAATGGGAACCGTGTGTGAAGGTGCATTGTTTCATGCACCGTGGAACTGTCCTGTTTCAGGCCTTTTTGTAGTCCTCTCCTCATTTCTAATCTCACATTTTTGCCTGTTCCTCCACTTCCGTGTCCTCTTTGCTTCTTTGTTAATGTTTGTCCACAACATTTAATGTACAGTACGTGGTCTGGCCAAGTTAAGGGGCAGCCGTCAGCCCTTTAGGTGTGCGTGCGTGTGCATGTGCGCGAGTGTATGCATGAAATTTGCCTGTTACCGTATGTTTGTATGTGACACACCTTTGCCTTACAGGTAGCCACACAGCAGCAGGCTTGGAGCCAAAGGAGAAAGGTGTTAAAAAATTATATTAATAATAATAAGAAAAAGCAGAAGTGGTGTATTACAAAGCCTTACACACACACACACACACACACACACACACACACACATCAGCTAAAAGAAAATCTGAAGAGGGATGTGCAGTATTCTTGCCACCCTGCCTTAATTCATACATTTTAGTATTTCTAGGTCAGTTTCAACATGTTTGTGAGCGGACAGGGAGGTTCAGAGGGCATACATGTCTGGTACAGTGTGTCTGTTACTCCTCTTCTTTTACCCTCACAACTGTGTTGACTTTTGTTTTTCTTACCTGCCAGTTGTAGCATGTCGGATCTCCCTGCTGCATGTTGAGCTGCTCCTCTCTCCATTCACCCCAGACCTCATTCATCTTGAACCACATCACGACACCTTTTCTTTCCAGCCCAACACTGTCCCGCCCCCGTGTGGCCGTGTCGGCTCACAGCAGCAGCCCGAGACTCGTGGAGTCTTTACTTATGGATGTCCTAAATGCTATCCCTTACTGTTTGCATTGTGCTTGTGTGTTTGCTGCCATGCTCTGTGTTATGCAAAAGTTAATGTAAGAATGTCACGTCGAGGGTTTTTTTCTCTGTGTTGCATTTATCAATGAGTTTTTCTGTATTGTTCTAAAATTATCGATGGCAGTCACTGTTGATGTATGGATGTAACTTAAAAAAAAACTTTTGATATATATTGTAGTGAGCAGGGGTGTTGATGTAGTTTGTTGTACGTAGGAGGGAGACTTGAATCGGCGATGTCACAATCAAATCGATAGAATGTTGAACTGATTTGTCCATCATGTCCTCCAGCTGACGATTGTAGCTCATTATGGATGAACGTCTTTTCTGCATCTCTAACATCCGACGTCCTCTTTGTCCAAAGCATATCTGTCTAGTTGCACAGCAAGTGACTGACTCGGGAAGTCTTGAATGTCCGATTCCGAAGCATTTTTGTATGTTTATACAGTTTATTTTCATACACATCACCATCTGCCAACATGTATAGATTTAATAACAGGTGTTCGGTATTTTTTTACTGGGGCACAGATGATTTATTCGGTTGGAGGTCTGGATTTTTTTTCACTCAAAGCCTCCACAAGTGTTTGAACTTTCGGGGGGCTCAACGTCCTGACCTCAGTAGATTAATAGAAGGGCCTTGGTGCTTGTTATGCAGTGTCCCACCTCACTGTACTGTTGCCATAATCTATCCAGACATATTCTACATGTCACACACCAGTCCTACCACAGGAAGGTCTATTTTACTTTATGGGATGGGGAATTCTTTGGAGTCATTCTTCAAACGCAGCTCCGTTTTTTCACGTCTACTCGTCATTTCTGTGTTGTCCATTGTGAATATTTCTTTTGCTACTTTTGTATCCCAGAGAGAAGATTATATTTTAACTGTTAGAATGTGTGTTCAAGTTTGTAACCAAAATTAGAGCAGCATATACATTATATGATTCATTAGAGATTTACCAATAGGTCTACACACTGCACTTTGTTCTACAGCAGATCAGTTTTTCCCCTAAAAAACAAGGTCTATTGTCTGTCGACTAGGGTTTATAAGTGTTCACTCTTCCTCACAAGTTATTTTTCTAAGAATGTAGTGGGTGAGAAAAAAAAAGTGACCAAATAACTTGACTAGGAACGGACTGTCTGTAGCCTCTGTCTCAAACTGGGTTTATCGCACCAGCCTTCTACTGCTGATCAGAATGTCAAACTGCTTTTTCTAAGTCCATCAGCAGAACAGCAGGTGCTCGTCCCGTCACTCCTGAGCTTGGCAAAGGTCTGAAATGTCGACTTCTGTGCTCTGAGCGGCACGCCTCATATCATACCTTCAGTACAGCACTGTTTGTATTACTAAACAGGTTTTGAGAATTTACTTTTTGTTTTTGGATAAAGATTTTAAAAGTTCACCTGTTGACTTTTTTGCCAGCCTGTCTGTAGCAAATGAGGGCAAAGCACTGTATTGTCATTCTGCTTGTAATAAAGAAAGAGTGAAAACACTTGTCCTCTTTGTTAATGCTGTGCGTTATTAATATCATGGAATATCTGTACAGATATAACATTTCTCTGCTGTTACCCATGCCTGCCAGTATTTCTGTCATTTCAGACCCTGCATGCCCTGCCTGTCCAGAAGGTCGACCCTGCAGTCATGGTACTTCTCGGCTGGGAAAATTAACCTGAATGCCTCGAGTTGGAACAACCACTGTAAGTCAGCAAAAACTTTGGTATATGAGATGGCGTCGTATATACAAAATCATGGCGGGGGAAAGTAGCCTAAATGTTTGATGATAAATGTTTTAATGTTTGACGATAATAAACTATTTATTCATATATCAGACAATTTGTTTGGATCTATTTTGTAGTAATAATGATAAACTTTATTTGGATAGCACTTTTCAAAACAAAGTTACGAAGTGCTTTTTGGGACAGATAAAGTAGTATACTCCAAGATAAAAACCACAATAACATACATAAATAAACATTGAAAATAGGGTAAGACCAGATAACATTTTGGTCATTTTGTTGATAAAGTTATTTATTAACATGAATCAGATAAAGCAATATTTTGGGACCAAATAACTTTGTAATATTAAGGCTTCAAACTGTCAACGTGCTGTTTAAATGATCTGAGCAATAAAATAAAGCATGTTTGTTGTTTACACATTACGACTTAGAGCTCATGAACACACCAGTTTCCTTTTTTTTGCCTCAAACTTGAATACATTGAATACATTCAGTACATGAAATATGTACATTTCAGATTTTCTGACTTAAGCATTGTGTTTAAAAATGCATCTTTTATGCATCTACATCTACTACTATGTATTTTCAACACTTGACGTTAAAGGAAAATGTCACAAAATGAGATGTGTGTCTGTGTTCTTGTACATGCGTCACAGTGAGGACCATGTATTTTAACAACAAAGTGAGGGCATTTTCAAAGTGAGGACAGTTTGGCCAGTCCTTACTTTTTCAAAGGCCTGTTTTAGGGTTAAGACTTGGCTTTAGGGTCCAGGTTAGAAGAAGGTTTTACGATAGGGGTAGGGTTAGGTATTGTGATAGTTGTGATGGTTAAGGTTAGGGTAAGGAGCTAGGGAATGCATTATGTCAATGAGGGTCCTCACAAAGAGAAGTATAAGAATGTGTGTGTGTTGGGGGTGTTATTGGTTAGGCTATTGTTATTACCACTTATCATGGTTTTGTGCATTGACAGCATTGAAAACTTTCTTATTCAGTTTCTGCCTTATGTGATGTGCCGGGTCAGATATATGACTTAAATATATTTTTTAATTCAAATGTGAAACAATAAAGTAGCTTCCATTTAACTAGCTAATTTAAATCACTTTTTACATTTTGTAAGTTTAACAGGTTGTCTCCAAACGACAAGCTTTTGCTGGGCCAGACGACGATTGGTTGGACCTGAAGTATCCAATGAAATGCTTGGACTCATCACCCAGTCGATTGAGGAAGCAAACAATCAACAATCATAAGTGATATATCGTAGGCAACTGGACTTGCTTGAGTTCCTTGAAGATCTTTCGCCTCTCATCCAAGAAGCTTCTTCAGTTCTAACAGACTGGTGCGGAGTCGCAGGCTTTAAAACCTGTGTGACCCATGTGACCCACCTGGCTTTCATGTGTGTCGTTAGGGTTAGATTGGTCCAGGTGTGAATGGGTGTTCAGTCGTCTGTGCAGGGATCCCAAGACTGCATTGTAGGTGGGTGATAAGTGGTGTCGTAGGCCTGTTTAACAATGGTCGCTCCAGTTAACTGGAATGTTAATGTCATTGGACCTTGACCCATCTTACCCTAACGACACACATGATAGCCAGGTGGGTCAACAACTGACATGTGACCCAGATGATTCTGAAACTCAGAGCTCACAGGTGACCTTAACGACTCTGTAAGGGTTTAAAGCCTTTGACTCCACACCAGTCCGTTAGAACTGAAGAAGCTTCTTGGATGAGAGGAGAAACATCTTCAAGAAACTCAAGCAAGTCCAGTTGCCTATGATATAGCACCATGACCTGGATGACTGAGAATCTTCACCAACAGCAATCAACAACAGCAACAGCCTGGTAAATTTGCTCGCCAAATCCAATAGACTAATTACTAATATAAAAATGTCTTAAGTTAAATAAAGTTTGGCTTAACTCCATCTAAGTGGGC